AAAGCTGTTGTGGCCTTTTCTTCACTCTTGGAGCTTTGTAGGCCAGTTAACCCTTTCTTGGCACATGTGCCAGGAAAGAGCAGGTTTTGGTCTCTGGTTTCTGCCACACACTGCTTCTGTGTAGCGTCTCCCGGTGCAGCACAGAGCAGTGCTGTGGAGCTGTGAGCAGCCAGAGAAGGACTGGGGGCTTTCACATGGCCCAGAGTGCCTGTATCCCTGTGCAGCCACAGGCTGACAGGCTCCTCTCTCTCTCCAGGTGGTACCATGGCTCAGCAGGTTCCAGTCCAGGCAATCCAGGTGCACCAGGCACCGCAGCAAACGTCTCCCTCTAGTGACAGCAGCACTGACCTTACCCAGACCTCTTCCAGCGGAACAGGTATTGGTAACCACCTTCTGTCTGCCTTCCTAACCACTGCTGAAAACAGCTCACACCAACAGGCCTCACGCCTGCTCCATGGCCAGTTTCCTCCTTCAGGCCAACTCTATCCAAGGCGTATTGATCCCTGTTCCCAGGTCCTGTGCTACACTGTATCCTATGCTAGGCATAGGGCTCCTTACAGGGAATTTCAGAGCCTCTCCAGATACATCATCTACTCTCACTTGCAGCATGGAGCTGGGAACAGGTTGTTGAGTTCTCAAGGGGTTTCTTAGTGAGCCAGCATTGCCTCTAGCACAAGGCATCAGCTCACATCTGCTTGAGACTTTTACTGTCTATGCAGAAGACATCTCTTTGTCAGCAAAATCTGAGTTCAGGTGCCTGGATGCAGGCTGAATCTACTTCAACATCTCTGTTAAAGTTATATTGGAGAATTGAGATATAAGTTGAATTTAGTCCTGGGATGTTTGGCTACTGTGTTTTCCTGCCCCTTTATACTCCTGAAAGGAGAGGTTTGAGCTCTCCTTCTTGATCTCTGGGATGGAAGACAGAGACAGGTATCTCCATGCACTGTGCTTCAGCACAGCATGCGCGGGGTGGCTGGGGTGGGGGTGCTGAGCAGGCAGGTGAGCGCGGCAGGTTCCTTTTGTGTGCTCACGTGTGTGGTCTGTCCCCGTGGCAGTGACCCTCCCAGCGACCATCATGACGTCGTCTGTGCCAACCACCGTGGGCGGCCACATGATGTACCCCAGCCCGCACGCGGTGATGTACGCGCCCACCTCCGGCCTGGCCGACGGCGGGCTCGCGGTGCTCAACGCTTTCCCACAGGCGCCCTCAGCCATGCAGGTGTCCCACGGCCAGGTCCAGGATCAGGGTAAGGCAGCTGTCCAGCTTGGTGCTCCCTGAGAGTGCGCTGACACCCTGGTTTCTCTCATCCCACGTGTGTTTATGCTGGATGTTAATCACAAAGGGTTTTCTTACCAGCACTCTCGGTGGCCACACAAAGGCCTGGCAAGGGCGATGCTCGATGCGTGTTTTTACGTCTTGCCATTCTCTTGTGCAAAGGATTGCACGAGCTGTTGATGGGTAAAAAGGAGGGCGAGGGTTTCTGGGATGGGCAGCGTGTGGGGCAGGCAGCACAGGGAGCCAGGAGGCTCTGGAGAGGAAATGTGCTTGCATGAGGGGGCAAAGTAGCATGAAGCCACACGGGCAAGACTTGGATTGAGGCCTTGTGCCTGCTTCTCCCAGCATTTGGAAAACTAGTGCGTGTGGCTTCTGGAATTTCTCCATGTGTGCAAATAGGCAGCTCTGTCCTTGAGTAGCTCCATGGAGCTCAGAGAAAGGATCTGTGGGAGAGCACTTCTTAAGGGACAGTGTCATTTGTGCTTCTCTCTGTGGCAGGTGGCGTCCCCCAAGTGTTCCTGACAGCCCCATCAGGCACGGTTCAGATCCCCGTCTCAGCTGTCCAGCTTCACCAGGTAGGCACAGAGTAGTACTTGCAGGTGTTCAGGGCTTATTCTTGCTCTTCTGCCTGCACATCCTTTGTGTGTCTGGGCAGACCTGGCTGGGTAGGCTCAGTCCTCAGCTGTGGGAATGCGCTCTGTGCTACCTACCCTTGGGTGAGGGAGTCTTGTCCTCCTTGGATGGGTGCCCGGGAAGGACAGTGCCCCCTGGCTGCTGGCACACATGGTCTCAGGGCGTGCTGTCCCCCAGTGGTTCCTCCTCCCTTCTCTCTCTAGATGGCTGTCATCGGGCAGCAGAGCAGCAGTGGCAGCAGCCTGACAGAGCTGCAGGTGGTCAACCTGGACACCTCACACAGCGTCAAGAGTGACTGAGAGGCCTCTGCTGCCGGCCTTCTGTTTCTGGCTTGTCGTGCCAGTGTCGGGGCTGGCAGCAACTCCTCGTACAGACTGCACCAGTTATTTATTGTTGCCTTTTCACGTTTCCTTCATCCACACATGCACACACACACACGCACTCACCCACCCCCACACACACAGGCATGCGCGTGGGGCTGCAGGACCCACCCCGGGTGGAGCCGTGCTGGGGCCGTGCAGGGCTTGGGGCATTTGGATGCTGCAATAGCTGTGCTTGTCTCACGCCAGCCAAAGAAATCTGTCTTTTGAGGGGAGGATTGCTCTGCACTGTAAATAAATACTGCAGGCCATTGCCAGCTGGAGGCTCTGGCTCCTTCTGGGTGCTCTGAGTCACCTTGCCCATGAGTATTTACTCTGCGTGGGGCTCAGCTTAGACCCGGAGCCATCGTGCAGGTGCAGCTTGGAGCAGAGTGGGTTGTGGCTGTGCTGCTGGCCTCAGCAATGTGCCTTTGTGGGGGTGACAGGTCCTGGCCGCAGCAACTCACCCTGGGCTCTGGACAGGAGAGAAGGGCCAGCTTGCATGTGCATCTCTGGGCCTGCATGCCCTCTGCCCGGAGGGCAGGGCACAGCCGGGGTATGTCCTCCTCGTATGCACTACAGTGAGCCCTCTGCCCTCAGTGCCTCCTCGCTGGGCTGCCTGGCAGATTTTCAGCCTGACTGGCCCTGCCCCGGCGGCTGCCCTTGCACAGGTGAGGTGGTGAGATAGATGCCCAGGAACACAAAGATGCCCTGGAGAGCTCCTCAGGGGCCCTGTGCTCTGCTCAGCCCCACACTCTCAGCCCTCGCACTGCTTCTGGACTCCATTCACCCAGGGGAACGTGGCTGGGTCTTTCCTACATCCCCCTGCAGCTCCAGCCAGCGCTTTCTAAATTTCTGTGTCTGATGCAAGGTGGAGAAACAACTCAAATGTCAAAGGGAAGAGCCCATGGGGCACTGAGCTGCTGGGCAGGTGGCAGGCTCTTCCTCTGAGCACCAGGGTGACCTGCAGGCCATCCTGGGCTGCGGGGGAGCAGCTGTGATGCCTGTACAGGCTCAGCAAGGCTGGGGGAGAAGGGCTGGGGCATGCTTGGTCCTGCATGGGAATTGCTGTGAATGGCTCTGCTACCTAGCCCTGTCCCTGGAGGGAGAGTGAGCAAGTGAGAGAAGCTGCTGAATCCTTAGGGGAAGAAGCAGCTACTGTAACTTTTTTTTTTTTTTTTTAAGTTAAAGACAAAAGAAGCCTTGGAGAGAAAAAAAAAAAAAGAAAAAAAAGAAAATTACTTTATTTTTCTAAGTGTTAAACTCAGTATTTATGTAATTCTTTAAGGAATAAAAGTTTGGCTCCTGTACAGTTTTAATGGGGTTTGTACCAGGGGGATGGGAGAGGGGTGGGTGGGCGGGCATGGAGGCAGGAAAGGGGCCTTGCTTTTGAGTTTGTATTGTAACCTTGGACATGTTCCCTCAGCATTAGCGTTTAAGCTGCACTCTCCATCCACCAGCATGTGCCAGGGATCAAGCTGAACCGAGTGGGATGCTTGTTTCCTACCTACTTGTAACGAGGACTTCATACCCATAATTTTGGGCTTAATGGGCAGAAGTGAAGTGAAGACCAGCAGTGGCTGGCCTCTGGAAGTGGTAAACCCATTCCTCAGAAGCAGGCAGTTTGGAGTGTGCCCAGGAGCCAGAGGTGAGCTGGGTTTGCTGATGACCGCCCTGTTCACTTCTGGTCCAGGGACCTGCAGCTGTTCTGTCACTGTCACTGCTCTTGGCATGGAGCAGTGGTGCCTGTGACTGCCTAAGGGATATGGGCGTCCCCACTCCTCCCTGTGGTGAGTGACCAGCAGTGGCTAATCCCTGTTCTCCCTGCTTGCTGTGCAGGCAGCATCTCCTGAACTCCTGGGTGACAATCTGAGCTGTGCTTCCCCCTCTACAGCCATTCTGCAGCGCACAGATGGGGAAAGGTCTCCTCCAAGCTCTCTGTGCAAAGAACTCCCAGAAGAGCCTTTCATCCCTTGATCTGTTAGCAGCCTGGGAAGGGCTTGTGGGGAGTGGAGTGGCCCATCTGGTGAGGGTGATGTTGCATGCTGCCTCCCCTTAGAATTCTTGCTCTAAGAGTGATGCAAACCCTGCAGCTCAGAGCATGTGGGAGTGCTGAGCCATGTCCCATGGCTCAGTGTAGGAAAACTGCTCCGTGATGCTTCCAAAACCACATAGGTACCTAGGAGTTCGTCCAGGGAGAAGTGTGGGATCAGAGTTTGCGTTGTCCTTTGCCCCAGCACATCACTGTGGCCTGGCTTTGCTCTGCTTTGCTTCTGCTGGCACTATAGAGCAGAGCTGTTGGGCCAGAACAGCAGGAGAGCCCCTGCTGCTACAGGGTGTGTGACTGCATCCCCTCCCTGGCTCCCCAAAGGCAACTGCTGGTTAAACGCTAATGGTGTATTTTATTTAAGTGCAGACTTGTAAGAACACTTGTGTATCAGGGATGAAATGGCATTTATTGTGTGGTGACATTTTTAGTTCATTTTACTGGTTTGAGGGGTGTGAGTGCGCGCGCGTGTGTGTGTGTGTGTGTACGCATAAGTGTGTGTGGGATTATTTTTTTTTTCCCTCCAGTTTCCAGGGTTGTGTTTCTGGAAGGATGTGGAAGTAATCACAGTACTATGTACAGAGCTTTCTTTTGTATTAAAAAAAAATTTACTCTTTCAATAAATGTTATCATTTTGTGCACAGATTTGGCATCTTGACCATGCTTTGCGGGAGGGGATGACGCACACCTTAGGGGCAACAGATGGGGATCGGGGCAGGTTCCTGCACCTGCTTGTGTGCTGAGGAGGATGGGGAGCTGTCTGAGCATGACGTGGCAAAGAGGGGCTCTTCACAGAAGTTTCTATCCCTACTGCCCCCTGCACAGGTAATTCCTGACCACCTGGACTTGTCCTCTGGAGTATCAGCCTAATCTGTGGGCCAGTGCCTGACAGAAATGCTGTGAGGGCTCTTTCCTGAAAGCTCTGGAACAATGTCCCTGGTGAGCAGGGCATTGTGTTAGTCAAGAGAAATAAAAACCAGCAATGAGGAGGAACGGGGAATTTTGGAAAAGAATTGTTCTAGTTCATGGATGTTAATACAGAGGAACAGGGAGACTTAAATTCCCTGCAGAAAACTGCTATGAGAAGATATGGCAATATTCAAAATCCAGTCTGGAGAGACATAAATTCAGGCAGAGGCCTAGAAGCCAGATCAAGGACACATGGAGGCTCAGTAAAGTGTCCAAAGGAGTGAATAAACCAGAGGGAGAGGGGCTCATTGCAATCTATGAGAAGATATGGCAATATTCAAAATCCAGTCTGGAGAGACATTACTTAAAGTCAGGCAGAGGCCTAGAAGCCAGATCAAGGACACATGGAGGCTCAGTAAAGCGTCCAAAGGAGTGAATAAACCAGAGGGGAGGGGCTCATTATCAGGGCTGCTGGGGCCAGAGTATGCCAGCTAAAAATGCAGCTGCCAGCACTCCATAGCATCAGGTCCTGGAGCAGATGCCAGTATAGTGTGAGGAAAGCTGAGCACTGATAAAAGTGCAGTTTGGAGAAAACCCCTACCTCGGGTGGGAAGAGGATTGTACAGAAAGTGCTTAGGAGCAAAAGACAGCTGAAATGGCTCTTTCCCCATTCGGAGGTGAGGAGGTGCCTCACTTCTACAGTACAACCTCACTTCTAGCCCTGTGCCCACACAGCTGTGGCGCGTGGTTCAGCACTACAAACGCCCTTTCTGCACAAGCAATCCCATGTCACCTGTGCACAGGGGCCTGTGTGTCACCTATGCACCATGGAGCAAGTTACCACAGATACATACCTTTATTTTTAGGGAAAAAGACTTACTAAGTGTGGAGACGATCAGAGCAAAGACATAAGCAGGCCGTGTGAATAGCACAGAAAACCTCTCCTTGTCACAAACAAGATGTCTTGGCAGTGAACAGGGAAGGAAAATGACATATTAATGGAAAACAGAGATTTCAAGAGCATCCATGGGATTCTGGAAAGAAAGTATCAATAGCATCAACAGAGATCACATGTACTAACAGAGAAATCGAGAGTGTGGCTTGGAAACACAAACATTTACAATCCACCATTGGTGCCATGGGTTTAGAGGATGGTCTCCATAAACTGATGCAACACTGCACTGTTTTATCCAGCCTATAATTAATTGCAATTATATTGTTTGGATTAATTGCTGATTGCTATTGCAAAACATGGAAATTGTCTAATCCATTTCATTAGTAGTGAGGGTAGAAATTAGGTTGGGCACATACCAGTTGCTCCAGGATCAAATAAGAAAGCAAAGTTTCATTCAGTTAGCTGATGATTTTAATGATTATTTATAATTTAAAACAAATCTTACCAGACTGATAGGAACTTGCACCCCAAGGAAGGGCAGTATGGGCACAGGATAAGAATTTAGATTTTATAGCATAGTTATTTCAGATCAGTGTGACACCAGAGCTGGAAACAGGCCAAACTTGTGTGCAGCTGGCTTCAACTGGCTCTCCAGCAACACTGAGAACAGGGCAGTCTCAGAGCCCCAGACCTGCCTGGAGCCAGCGCAGCTGTCACTGAAGCCAGCAGGGTGGATGGAGGGTGGGTGCAGGGCCGGAACCACCCCAGGGCCGGAGGCTGACATTGCTGCATTGTAATTCTTGATTAACAGCGCATTTGCAGTAATAATATTAGTGCTGACATGACATGCTTTTAGCCTTCCTGCCACCCATGCTGCCACAGCCCTTGATGAAGACAATTAATCACCAGAGCAATGGTACCAACACACAGCACAGCGTTACCACCTTACCGAAAAGCAGCTCGCTCTAGCAGATGCCTTCTTCAGCTTGCAACTTCCATTTGTTCTCGTTTCTGACATTAGCCAGGGGAATCAGGAGATATTCCAATCTTTCCCCTTTTTCCACTGCTCACCATCGTTCCTGGTGTGGGGGGAACAGCAGCTTTGGGACCCACGGCCCAGGTGCCAGCTCAGGCCTGGAACGCCTTTGGGAGCCACGAGCTGTCCTTAGGGACCCTGTGGGGCAGCCAGCAGTGCTCTCGTGGCACATTCCCAAGGGAATCCTGGCGTGCATTAGGAGCTGCATTGCCAGCAGGTCAGGGAGGTGATCCTGCCCCTCTGCTCAGCCCTGGTGAGGCCAGTCTGGAGTGCTGTGCCCAGTTCTGGGATCCTCAGGACAAGAGAGAACTGGATCTCCTGGAGTGGGTCCAGCAGAGGGTGACAGAGATGATGGAGGGACCGGAGCACCTCAGTTCTGAGGAGAGGCTGGGGGAGCGGGGCCTGCTCAGAGAGGAACCTCATCAGTGTCTGTCAGTGCCTGACAGCTCTGAGGAGAGGCTGGGGGAGCGGGGCCTGCTCACAGAGGAACCTCATCAGTGTCTGTCAGTGCCTGCAGGGAGGGGCCGGAGCACGGACCAGGCTCTGCTCAGCGGGCACTGGGACAAGAGGCAAGGGGCAGGAGCTGAGGCTCAGGAGGTTCCACCTGAACATGAGGAAGAACTTCCCTGTGCAGTGCCCGAGCACCGGGACAGATTGCCCAGAGAGGCTGTGGGGTATCCCTCACTGGGGATAGTCAAGAACCATCTGGATGCAATCCTGTGCCATGTGCTCTGTGATCACCCTGCTTGAGCAGGGAGGTTGGATCAGATGACCCACGGTGGTCTCTTCCAACCTGGCCCATCCTGGGATTCTGAGGGACGGCAGGGACACGGCGGGGACACTGCGGAACGCGCATCTCCCGCCACTCCCGTGTCCCTCGCCGCCTCCCGTAGGGGACGCGGAAGCTGCGCGCTGTTTCCGGCGCCTCCCGGTGGCGCCGGGGCCGCTCCGGGGGCGCGGGCAGGGTCGGAGCGGCGCCTCCCGGGCCGCTTCCTTCCTCCCGTCTCGGGGGTGAGTCGGCTCCCCGCGTACCGGGGCTGGGCCCGGCTGTGTCCTGCCCGGCTCGCCGTGGCTCCGAGGGCAGCGGGACAGCGGTGAGCGAAGGGCCCGGCATAGGGGGCGGCTCGCCGGGCTGTCCGGGACGGCCCGGGGGAAAGCCCGTGTGTTCCGAGGCACGTCGGTGCGAGCTGTCCTCTGTGTGTGTGTGCACTGTGCAAACTCATGTGAGGAAAACGATTCTTTGACTTGTGGTGTGGCATCTAAGCACTGTAACAAAGCACGGGAGAATAACTTGGTCTTTTTATTACAGTGGCTGCAAGAAGATTCCCATCTGGCATGCTGCAAATCCCAAGGAAGGCAGCACAATCGAAGGTAAGTGTATATGTCCTGGGAGTTCAGGCTGCTTCTCTCTGCACCTGGAAAGTGTTTTTAATGTGCCTGTCGTAGTCTTTGATGGTTTGTATCTTCTTTGGTTAAACATGGATTGACTGTTGCTCTGGTATCTTGCTTCACTGCTTTTCTTGCCAGTGTGTGTACGTGGTAGGAGCATTTCCCACTGCCACCTGGCTGAGCTCATTCCTATCAGCCTGATCTGGAATGCTTTGTGAACTCAGTCCCTGGTTTTGTCTGTACCTGGCTTGCTGGTTGCTGGCACTCAGTCTTGGACAGTAAATTATTTCCATGCTGCTTTTTGCATGGATGAAAGGAGAGAAGCACTGTGTCTTTTTTCTGGTCCCAAGATGCAGAACAGTCAGATAACAGAGAATAGAAACCTTTTAGTTCTGTGGAATTTGTCCATTGATGAAACATTGTAAAGGCAAGGAATTCTGAGAAGAGGGCAAGGAGAAGAACTGAGAGACTTTCAGGTAGGGAACCTTATCTGATGTGTATGAACTAGATCTGAGAAACTGCTCATTATTTTCTTCAGGGCTGGTGATGTGAAGGTCCCTGTGCACGGTGAGAATACCATGAGCTCTAGGTAAGCTCACACTCTGAACAATTATAAATGGTAAATAGCAAGAGGGAAGACAGAAGTGCAAAAGCAGCAACTTGTGAGGGTCATGTTGTGGACACTGGTAGGGATGTGAACAGGACTGAAATCTCTCATCATTATTTGCTGTCTTATAAAAGGGCCTATTTTGCCTTCATGTTCTGTGTTAGTTTCCTTATTGAGGAGAACCTTCTTCTATGTGTGTCAGTAACGCTTGGAACTGGTTTTGTTTATGAAAAACCGGGTTATTTTCTTGGAAGGGGAATGTGAACCTCTGCAGAGTGGGTTTTCCTTCAAAGCTTCATTCTGGCTGTAGGATCTCAGGATCAAAAGCTGTGCCACGACCATTTCTACTGTCAGTGCTGGCTCACGCTTTCCCCAGCACGCGGCTCAGAAATAAAAGCTTGACCCTGCTTCCCCTCTGTCTCTGCAGACACATCTGCTGCCATGGTGAATGAGAAGCACAATGGCACCCTGCTTGTGCAGCTGGGGCCCAAACTGCAGGCCCACCCAGAGAAGCTGCTGCGGCAGCGGCGAGGCCACGACGAGCGGCCGGAATACCTGGTCCGGTGGAGCGTTGTTAGCTCGGAAGAGAGAGCGGCGGGAGGCAGCAGTGCCTGCTCCGGAGAGAGCAAGGCAGAGCACATCTCCCTGTGGATGTCTGCAGAAGAGGTGTGCGCCAGCTGCCCGGCGCTGCTGGGCCAGAGGAGGCCGGAGGGGCCGAGAGAGGAGAAGGCGCCCGGTGCCTTGTCCGCGCTCATCCCGCTGGACGAAGCCTCGCTGCTGGAGATGAAGGCCGACGTCAGGAGCCTGGTGCAGCGAGCCGGGCGCCAGGTGGCCGAGGCCGGGACCCCCGAGTGCTCCATCCTGAGCACGGTGCACGTGCTGGGCGCCTACGCCAGCATCGGCTCCCTGGCGGGCGCCTTCAGGGAGGCGGGAGCCCTGGAGCTGCTGACGGCCATGCTGTGCCACCGGGAGAAGCGGATCCGCCGCGGTGCCGGCGAGATGCTGCGCGCTCTGGGCGCTCAGGATGCAGGTGGGGGCTGCTCCTGCTCAGTGCCACTCAGGGGTGCTGGGCTAGAATCAGTCAGGATCTTCCGGACTTCTGTGGTTGCAGTTGTCAGCATGGCTCAGGGCTTCTTGGCAGAAGGGGAAGAATCAGTCAGGATCTTCCGGACTTCCGTGCAGTTGTGTGGACTGCTCTTGGAGTTAGAAACTCTTTCCCCTGCCAGGTTTCTGAGCTGGGATGCTGATTAACTCTTAGGAGGACTTAGGCCAAGGAGATTGGCAGAGTGTGGGGTGACTCTGCTCCAAGCTGTCAGTTGGAAAGTCTCTGGCCTGTTCTTGGCAGGGAGCCTTTCCTCAGGCCCTGGACAGAGGCTAGTCCTCATTTAAGAGGAGCTGTCATGGCTTGGAAGTGCCTGATGAGGCTTGGGTGCACCTGGAAGGTTGCTGGTTGTGGTGTATCCCACAGGAGATCTGGCTTTCCCTGTCCTAGTGCCTGAGTTTGTGCAGCTCTGAAGTGGGGCAGATGAGGGGCTGATTCAGGTTAAAACTTGACTTCTTTTCTTCCCTGGGACCCTGTTCTGGAATCAGTTATTTGGGGTTGCTGCTTTGTGAGAATCTCTCAGCTTTAGGGGTAGAAAAAAACCACCATGGAGCAAAATGTTGCCACTCCAGAGGAAGGGACAGAAGGTGGATCAGGTGACACCGAGCAGCAAAGCTGTTCCTTCCCTGCAGCTCTGTGTCTCACAGGGAGGTGGGGTGAGGGCTGTCTTTCTGGGGCCTGAAGAGTTTTTGTTGTTGTTGCAGGAGTCTGGGCCCATGTCCTGCTGTCCCTGAGCCAGCAGGATGGCATTGAGCAGCACATGGACTTTGACAGTCGCTGCACCTTGCTGGAGCTGTTTGCTGAGATCACGTCCTCTGCAGAGCACTGCATGTCCTTCGAGGGGATTCACCTCCCGCAGGTGGTGCCGGACCCGCCAGCAGCCCTGGGGCCCGAGGGGCCAGGAGGGGTGGGAGTGGGGGCCAGGAGGGGTGGGAGTGGGGGGCCAGGGCTGGCACCCTTGTCTGGGACATGAGGGGAGTTGAAGGTGGGCAGGTGAGCAGGACTGGCTGTCGGGAGAGCTGGCTCAGGGCCTGGGCCTGGTGAGAGGAGCCGTGTGAAGCAGGAGTTTGAGTTCAGCATGGCCATGGCAAACCTCATCTCGGAGCTGGTGCACGTGATGGGCTGGAGCCACAGGCACAAGGCAGAGCCGCTGCGCCAGCGGGACCTGCAGCCTCGCCCTGCCCGCTCCATCTTCCTCGTGTCCTGGGGCCGGTCGTGACGACTCCAAAAGCCTGTGTTGCCTTCAAATCCTGGTCCTCAGAAAAAGCAAGGCTGTACCTTCCTGACTGCATCAGACTTTGCAGACAGCAGTGACTACACAGAGTACTTGCGGGCAAACCTGGTGCGTGGCATGAGGGTGCGCTTGCTGGAGGACTGTGGTGACGTTAGAGCTGGGGAGGAAGGCGAGTTTCTCCAGAGCACGAATAACATGCAGACAGTACAGGTAGGTCATGGAGAGACTTCTGGCTGGAATGGCAGAGGGGTGTGACCTGGGTGACTGCTGGATTCCTAATGATGCCTGTATGTGCAGGAAGTTGGACAATAGGCATGGCTTATTGTGTATCACTATCTGCATCTGTCCTAGCAAAACACTCACCTTTCAGAGCTGGAGGGATGCATTGCATGGAACGCTAGTCTGATTTTGTATGGGTTGTGCCACTAAGATTTCTTAGCCTCTAAAACAGGCCTTACTAAAAAAGCCTGTCCCCGTCTTTCTTACAAGCCCCCTCTAAGTATTGAAAGCCCACTGTAAGGTTTCCCTGGAGCCTTCTCTTCTCCAGGTTGAACAACCCCAACTCTCTCAGTGCTTTCTCATAGCAGAGGTGTTCCATCCCTCTTACTGTTTTTGTGACCTTCCTCTTTACCTGCTTCTGCGCTTCCTCATAGCAGAGGTGTTCCATCCCTCTTACTGTTTTTGTGACCTTCCTCTTTACCTGCTCCAACAGATCCATGCCTTGTGCTAAAGTCTTCAGAGCTGGATGCAGTTCTCCAGGTGGGGTCTCACCAGAGCAGGGCAGAGGGGCAGAATCACCTCCCTTCACCTGCTGGCCACACTGCTTCTGATGCAGCCCAGGATATGGCTAGCTCTTTGGTCTCTGAGTGCACATTGCCAGGTCATGCCCAAATTTTCATCCATCAGTTCTGCAAAGTCCTTCTGTTTTCAGTTCCTTTTTCCTCCAGCCTGGAGTGGTACTGGGGTTTGCCACAACCCAGCTGCAGGACCTTGCACTTGGCCTTGTTCATGAGGTTCCCACTTCTCGAGTTCATCCTTTGGATGCCATCCCATCCCTCAGGCATGTCAACTGCACTGCTCATCTTGGTGTTGTCAGCAAACCTGCTGAGAGTGCAGCCAATCTCACTCTTGTCACTGATGAAGATATCAGATGGTATTGGTCCCCATACAGACCCCTGAGGAACACCACTTGTCACTAATCTCCAGCTGGACATTGAGCTGTTGACCTCTGAATATGACCATTCAACCAATTCCTCATCAACTAAATAGTCCATCTGTTGAATCCATGTCTCTCCGATTTGAAGAGAAGGATGTTGTGGGATTGCTGTCAAAGGCCTTAAAGAAGTCCAGAAAGGTGACAGCCATAGCTCTTCCCTTGGCCACTGATGTAGTCACTCCATCATAGGTGGCTAGTAGGTTGGCCAGGCAAGACTCTCCCCTGATTTTCTGGAATCACCTCCCTGTCTTCCATGTACCTCAGTTAAAAGGCTTTTCTAGTTCTGGTCCATGCATTGGTGATGTTTCTATTCAGGCCTCAGCTGAATAACTGCTTTGCATCTTATTTTTTTTCTTATTCTTAAAAACCACTTATTTTTAAGTGGTTTAGAAACCTCTTTTATAACCGCCTCCATAAAGATAACTTGCAAAGGAAATGAATTTCATACTGATTCTCTCTTTGTCCTTGTGCGTCTTGGTTTCTAATATCTGTGTTTTCCTAAAATTGTGATATCTGTTTCTTATAAAGTTGTACTTGCTTTTAGTCTTAATGAACTGGGCACTTGGAAAGAGCACCAAGATCCTTTCATTATTTTCTCCTGTTGCCAGTGACATAAATTTCAAAGTGTTTTCACTTCAGTGTTGAGCTAAAGTGTAGTGTGTACTTAGCTTCCATTCCCATTGTCCTGTTGGTCCCTTGCATTCCCTTTTCTGTCTATTTTTCTGTTTAATTTAGTTTTCAGTGTTATTTGTAAGGCTCACACTATTAACAAAACCAGATCTGAATGGCAATTGGGCCAGTCCATCACAACTCTGTCTCTTACCTTGTCTCATCCTTCCTTTGTTGCTCTGATTTCTGTTGCTTTCCTTGCTTTTCCAAAGAAGGATTTTTCTCTGTTGTATCTGGTCCTGCAGCACTATCTTTCCATGACTCCTTTGACATGGCATTTGGTACATAACTAGCTTAGGTCAGAGGTACATTGAAGACTATTTGGTGTTGTGTGTAGTTTAACTCAACTTCCTTCCATACTGTGCTTTCCCAAAGTCTGTCAGCATCTCAACTGTCCATCACAGTGGGTTCATGGTAGCACTGGTGTAACTCCAAAAGAGCTCAGTGAAGCAGGCAAACCATATGTTTTTCTGCTGTTTTTTTTAAAGCTACTGACATATTGTACTTGCTGTTGCTGGGTTCTCCTTTTGCTCAGAAGATTAAATGTAACACTATGGTACGAGAAACTGTAAAATGTCCTTCTGATTTTTGAGAAGTAACTTGGACAAAGCAGAGGAAACAATTTCTGCCTTTGAGACATGCTTATCAAGAGCCCAAAACCTGTTTGAGAGGGTTGATGAATGACCAAGGTTATAAAAGTGCCCTGACGTACTTTATATACAGCTCCTTGAGGTAGTGTTGGTTATGCCCTTTGTCTGCTTTTCCCAAGGCACCTGCAGCTTGGCACTTTTGGAACAGGTGTGATTAACTGGATGCACTCATGCCTCTGCTGCTGTACTGAGATCTGTAGTGGTTGCAGGCAAAGTTAGTGTTTTTTCAAAAATAAAGATCCAGGTGTAACCAAGGCAAGAAGTTAGTAAAGATGATATGCCTCAAAACTGGACAGCGTGAGTGCTGAAATCTGTACAAAAATTGTGTGGTCTTCTACTTCTTTGGGAAATGGGAGGACAAACGTAGCAAGAGGATAGAACAAGTGAGCAGATCTGAATGTCTGGATTCGTTTCACCCACAGGTTTTACGGCAGTCAACGGGTCGGACCTACTGGGTGCGTTGGCACATACTGGAGATTATTGGCTTTGGGGACAAGTGGGAAGATCCTGCTGCTCAGGAAAAGGAACATAGTGTGAGAAAGAGCTTCAATCTAGACACAGGTGAGATTGTGATGCATGTATGTATCATCTCTTTCTTTCTGATTATCCTGTGGGACAGGAGTAGTGACCTTTTATATCAAAAACACACAGCAAGTAGCAGGCTGGGTTCAGAAAGCACTATTAGTTTGTGTGAACATGTAAAGCTGGTTAAGGAATTGCATGGCTTGTGATTTAATGGAGTATTTTTGAACCCTAGACTTCTGTCAAGATGTATAATGAAAGTAATGATATAAAGAGCATAAAATTTTATTTAAACTGCAACTGTCAAAACTTTGTGTTTGAATTAACTGACTGAGCTGCCAAAACATGACTTTCTCTAGAAAATCTTAGAATTTCTCTGAGATAAAGCTGTTTGGGGGCACTCAAGTCCCCTTAAGTAAGTGGTAAGGATTTTTAAAAGCATGAACATAGCAACAATTTGTTTAACTTCATACTGTTGAGCTTTTAACAAGGTGTTAAAGTATTAAAGAACTGTTTTTGTAAGACATCTGCAGCATCTCCTAGAACATTTAACATTGCCCTTGTACTGGGACAAAATAAAAGGCAGAATCCAGACTTCAGATACCCCTTGTTCAGCATCTGACATGATTCTAGCCAGGGAGACCTATTAAAGTAACGCTTTTATCACAGCTGTGGCCTTCTAGAATATCTTTTGTGTAGAGTGGTTTGGATTTACTGGCTGCTAGAGAGCGTGTTGATGAGATCAGCAGCTAATTGCACACTTTGAAACTATTCTTATTTCCAGTTGAAAAGATGGTTTCTTAAATGGCTTCTACCTCTTGTATTTAAAGGCTTAACTTCATGTCAGTGTGCAGTGTCTAACTTAAAACAAACTTAGTTAGATTTCTCCTTTTCATGGTCTTTCTGATTTTGGGAGAAGCAGGAGCTCTGTTTCACTTCTATGTATAACTCTTTCCAGGCATAATATCCCACTTAGAAGATGAATTGAAATGTGGGGTGTGCAGCAGTGGACGGGTAATGTGGGGTGTGCAGCACAGGATGGGGGAGTTGGCAGAGCTGACAGTGCCCTTCCTTGCTCTGCTCCCCTGCAGTTCCACAGCCATTCCTGTGCAAGCCCTTGGGGGGGCTGTACTCCCTGCCTTACCTGGGCCAGCGGCTGCCAACGGCTGCAGACACGCTGAGCCGTGCCGAGTGGTGGGAGCTGCTCTTCTTTGTGAGGAAGCTGGAAGCACAGGAGCAGAAAGAGATCACCTGTCTCATCCAGCAGCACCAGGGAGAGCAGGTGGGGGACAGTGCCTGCAGCAGGGAAATGGGAGGGAGGAGCAAAGGGAACATTAGGGAGGAGATGGCAGGTGTG